AAGAAATGTTGTTGTAATATAGTGGAGGAGAAGAAAATAGATTTTTTCCTGATCAAGAGTGAGAGAGAAAAATCAAAGGAAGATGCTTAGGAAAGAGAGAGATGCTTATGCATTATAATGAACATAAAGGGTATAATGGGAAAGTAACAAACTTAGCTATGAATTTAGTCATGGATTCGAGGTTATAATTGGAAAGTTATAACATATCTATTCAGCCATTGGCTTACCAAAGTTTTGCTTATGTCACATAGATGATGTGGAATGACATCACCCATCTCCGTAACACGTTTGATGGCTTGGTAATGGTGGGTATTGTTTTTTTTGTTCTCCTTTCTTCGCGGATTTATTTAATTTCTCATGAAAACGATCCAACAACTTGGTTGGTTTTTTAAAATGTTTATTGGGAAAAAATGTTTTGTCTTTATCTTGGATAAGAGTTATATAACTAATATTTTATGACATTCAAATTATTTTTCCACTGGCATGAAATTCGCTTTCAAGAAAAGAAAAAAAATGAGAGGAGAATTTTTTTTTTTTTTTGTAATAATTAAAGAGGATAAATGTTGACAAGATATATATATCGGACCAACCACTAATATCTTTTAAGAGTAATTGGGTCAAATAGTCCTAAAACATAATAATATTCTTACAATTTTGTCAATCTCATAATTTTATTTGGAAGTTGGTAAAATATGACTGTAAAATACGCCTCTATATGTTTTGCTATATAGAGTTTTCATAACCAATTTATTTATACGTGTTTATCGTCGTGCATTTACGAAAGTAGAAGGATCCTTGTGAATATTCTCACTGTTGAATTTTGTAATGGATAGACTAGCTACTAAAACTAAATGATAAACAAATATATATAGATTGTGGTGAGACCGCTTAGTTCGGATCTAAAAGTAGTAATCAAGATTAATCTCATTATACTAAGCCAACATTATTTAATTTTATCTTTTACTCCATGTTTTATAGAACTGCCGTTAAAAATGCCGGAAAAGTACTTAAGTAGATAATTAATGTTTTGGATCATTTGGTAAAAGAGAGCTTTGAAACCATTACAATCACAAGTCACACTCTAACTTATGTCAGCCTATCGCTTGCTTGGCCCTGATCATTTCGGCAGTACTTAGGATTTTATACAAAATATATGAATTTTGGACTGAACAAAAAGATTAAGAATTTGTTGAAACTGTCACTAGTTTACACATTTTAATTAATACTCGTGAAACTATTGTAATATTCGTGTAAGTCATCTCTTTTAATACCGAAAATAAATTGAAACCTATCATATGATCATAAGAAAGAACTCACTTTGGGTTAGTTGAATTATTTTATTTCTTGTCGCATAAAACAAATTTTAATTTTTTTTATTAATTAGACATTTGTTTGGAATTGAGATATTGTGACGGCATTGAGGGGGCAGGTGCCACTGAGTACTCCTCGGAGTCACAATAAATTCAGTCCACATTGTGCATCCACTCGCAAATAAATCAAAATCCATAAGAGTCAAATCCATTTGTTTGCTTATTAATTCTCTAGAATTATCACACTTATACGCTTACCTTTTCAATTATAAATAAAAACGAAACGGCTGTACTAATTATTATACAACTTAACGAAACAGATTAGATCAAGAATAGTTATGATCAGTGTATAATGGTGGGACAATGAAATGATTATGGAATATAATTGTGTAACGATATATAAATAAAAAACTTGTGTCGTGATATTTTTGATGTTGTAGTAATTGACTTCGATCGTAAAAAGACGAATGTGTTATTTCTCCGTTTGAATTACCAACAAATATGTCCAAGAAGCTTTGTTTTACTTCTTCGTTTACTCATCCAAATTCGGCATTTATCTATAAATCCCAACTGATTAATCATATGTAGAGATTGTCAAAATATGGACACTAGTTATATATTCAAATATTAAATTATTGAGATGATGAGGGAAAGGTCAACGGTGATTAGGGAACTACTATTGACAAATGACAAATGGTTATTAGAATAATAATAATTTATTATAAATACATCATTTTGTGCTTAATCTAATCTTACGCTGAGTTGTCTTATAAAATAATTAACCAAGAGGCCTTGATTAACGGATTGCTACTTATCGTTAAGACTACTCTGGATATTGATCTGTCACGAAATTTTAAAATTATTTTAGTTTTTTATCTGCAAAACATATAGTTCTTAAATGTATAAGTTGAACCTTATTTCGTGCTATACCCAATCGGGGAATTCTTTTTCTCGAGGATAATTAATTAATCAATTCGCAAGAGGCGGTCCTTGCTACGTACGAATCTAATTTCATATTTTAAAAAAATACAAAAAAAAAATTCAACAGGAATAAAACTATAAAAGTTAAAAAGTAGAACACGTCAATAATTCAACTAGATCCAACTCATAGATATATAATTATGGTCATTATTACTTTTTTTTTATTTCTTAATTAGTCCCACTAATTTTACGGCAGCCTCTAGTTTTTTAAGTTTAATGTATTTAGAACTAAATCCCATATAGCGATCACTACTCAGATCTCAAACTATGAACTTTTGCATTAACCAATTTTTTTGTAACCTAGTGATTTGTTTTATTTCTAGGGGTCGGCATTTGATTCAACCAGGTACACTTTTTTTTTAAAAAAAAATATTCTTCTAGTATTTATATTTTGGCTAGTTGATCGGTTCTATTATTGTCTGAGTTCTGTCAGTACTAAATCTGAACCCACTCTTTATCATATAAAATTATGAAATTCAAACATATATATATATATATATATATATATATATATACACACATAAAAAGTTGTTTATGATCAGCTATTGATTGTGTCTACATATGTAGCCAAAAGGTCGTTCAATGTGAGAAGGGACTCTAAAATTAAAAGACAGGACTCCCAAAACATATACAAAAGCCGGTGCTCGTTTATGGATATCCTGGTCGTGCCAGTTATAAACTTATAGTTTATTACTTATAAATTTGTTTTTTTAATAACAAATTACCTATAAATTTGTTATATTTAAGTCTACCTGACTTTTTTAAAAATCGTAATATTTGAGAGTCAATTAAAGTGGTGATACACTTGCCAAGTGTCAAGTATTATAACAATGGTTTTGATACACTTCACCAATCTTGAGATTTAATTTAGAAATATACAACTATGTACGTAATACGTTGTTAACGGCATGTACCACATATATCACGTTTTTTTCAAAATCTTATTTTGTCTTGTTCCAGTTGACGACATTACAGAACGACAAAACTTTCAAACTGAGAATCAAGAATCATTGAGGGTAAAATATATTTCGAGCTAAACTTATAACGTAATAACTAAAGATGAATCTCTGGCCAAAAAAAAAAACAAAAGAATAAAGATGAATCATGATTTCACAAAATTGCATCCTTTGTAAAAAATTAAAAAATTTGGAATCATACCTTTTTTCTCTCCATTCTGCATATTATAAATTATGTTTTAATATATAGTAGAGCTGACATATCACTCATAAATTTTGAACCAAACCAATAACCATTTGGATGTTTCAGTAAGTTTTAAGTACGTGAATTTTGTTTGGTTTTGAAGTTTTAGGTTGTTTTTTTTTGGTATGATTTGAAGTTTTAGGTTTTAATTTTGCTATATGTATTTGTGAATAAACTAAAAAGTAAAAAATATCGTTTTAAAGAGTAACAATCATTCATTGGATGCTACCGAAAACGGAGCCATGGAAAGAAAAGAGAATTTCCGGCCAAACATATCGACAAATTGTCAAAAGTGTCGTCTGCTCATAGAAACTAACTTGTTATAATATGAATAACTTAACCAGTAGGCGATACATTAATGTTCTACTAGATTTTATTTTTCAAAACAAGTTTGGATATATTATTATTGGATATTCGAACAATTATATATATATATATATATATATATATATATAACATGTATTGGTACCCATACATATTAAAGGATAGTTTAGAACATGTTTTTGTAATACGTATAGTACGTAAAAACTTTAGATAAATGGTTTTAATACTTGTCATGAAGGCTATTAGCACTTCATTGTCATATTAGAGACAAAGGAGCCGAAAAAGAGAAAGAAGGAAGCTTCATATATAGCTGATGAGGACAGCAATTATATTGGAAGACTTTGGGCAAATATGAGTTTTGGAAAGCTAAATATGTATGGTTTTTACAAAAGGTCAGAGATTGAGGCAGGCAATAGGAAGCTTCTTTTTTATTTCACGGCCTGACGAAGACATTTTCATAGTCTCCTTAGATGCAAATCGAAATTCCATATTCCGAATCATATAATCTATTTAGCATGTCGGATCACTTTTTGTTTAAATATTTAAACAATTAATAAATCAGCTTGATTCTAGAAGCACGACCAATATTGGTCGGAAATTAGTCAGAAACTTGTCGGAAAACTCGTCGTAAATATTAGGTGAACACATGTTTATTCACTGCACATTTCTCGACAAAATTCCGACGCTTTGGTCGGAAATATTAGTCGGAAAAATCGTCAGAAATTATGAGTTTCAACCTTTAATATTTCCGACGAATTTCCGACGAAACTTAAGTCGGAAAGTTTTGTTAGTCGGAAATTTGTCGGAAATTATTTATTTAATCATTTTTATTTTTAAAAAAACGAAAAAATAAATAATTTATAATAAATAATTAATTAATTTCGTCGGAAAGTCGTCAGAAATATTATTTTGATTTTTTTTTGAAAAAATTAAATAATTTATAATTAAGTAAATAATTAATTAATAATTAATTTTGTCGGAAATTCGTCAGAAATTTCTACGTTCGTCGGAATTCCGTCGGAAAATGTATGATTTTTCATGTTCCCGCCTTTGTACATTCAATTCAAATGAATTTACCGCGTTTTGTATTTTCCAACAAATTTCCGACGAAATACATTGTCGGAAATTTTTTCTACATATACCAAATGAGTTTTCATCCATTTCACAATTCCAAACACAACAATCTCAATCTCTATTAACATCTTCTTCTCTCTACTTCAAACATCATTCCTTTATTTAAAGTTCAACATTTTCATTCTCTTGTTCAATTAATAGAGACATTTATGTATTTATATATTTATTCATTTTAATTAATTCAATTTTAATTCTCATTTGTTGATAATGAAAATTGGTTATGTGACAATTAATCTATTTTTGTAGATATTCAATAATTATTTTAATTTTAACTATAATACTCTTATTTGTTTTTTTTTGTTTTTTTTTAAAAAAATAGAAAAGTCGTCGGAATTTTGTCGGAACTAATTTTGGTATATATTTATTTTTATTTTAAAAGTGGTTGGAAATTTCCGACGAATTTCCGACCACTATATGAATAGTCGTCGGAAATTTGTCGGAAATTTCCGACAAAATTCCGACAAATATTTCCGACAAAATTTCCGACGAATAGTTTTCGTCGATAATTTCCGACGAATTTCCGACGACTTATGGTTTCCGACCAGAGAATTCCGATCACGGGCTGGTCCGATCAATCTATCTGGGCCAATAAATGTTTTCGGCGCAATGGCCTCAGGCGGCATGTACTCGGTGTTTCCAGGAAACAATAGACTAGAGTCCATAGTAGGCTCTTTGGATAAGCCGAAACCAGTAAGCTTGAGATCCCATGGTTCTCCAGGAGTGTTGGAAGGGAAGACAAATACATTGGAGGGTTTGAGGTCGCAGTGGACGTAACCTTCCGAATGGAGAGCCTTAAGTCCTTGCAGGATCATACGAGTGGCCCGTCTGACAGTATCTTCAGGCAGTCTCCCTCTGGAATCAGAGATCATCTTGTCGAGATTGCCTAAGGACGCATACTCCATGTAGATGTAACACAAAGTCACACTTTTGGTGTTAAACTTGAAGTGAAGATGAGGGCACGAAGCTTGGACGATTGAGGGATTGGCGTGGAAGTGAAGCATGGTCTTAAGCTCCCTCTCGAGATTCTCGGAATGTTTGAGCGTACTTGTCTTCTTCATGTAAGATTTCTCTAAGTTTGAATCATTCTTGAGGTATACAGAGTCGTAGTTACCTTTTCCAAGAACAGAGACTGATAGTATCCAATGGAGACTATATTCAGTGAAGACTCCGTCAGATCTCCAATAATCTCTTTCTTTAGGTTAGCAAAATTTATTATATAAATAGGGAAACTGCTGCTTCCCGGAAGAATATATTACTATTAACTAATCTAATTATCAATATTTAGTTATTAAGAATATATAAAATAAATATTTTAGCTACAAATTGAGGTGGAAGCCCCCTTGGCCCATTGGTTGAATAAGGGTTAATTAATGCTTCTACATCCAGAGGTCTGGGGTTCGAGTCCCAGATACTGCGATTTATTAATAAATTTGCAGATTATTGGAGGCAAGTGTGCAGGAGATCTCCAGCGATGTACAATTATAGCCGTTCGCCAGGATTCTACGCAGAGAGGGAAGTGTCCATCAAGATCATAAAGAAGGAGGTGAGTATGAAGAAGAAGGTGAAGAAGGTGTCGTCTGTCGTGGATCTACTAAAGATCGGAAGGAATTGTCCGTTGTAGAATCGTCTATGTAACAGTTCTCATAATTTGCAATAAATAATAAATCTAGACGTTAAAAAAAAAGCTACAAATTGAGAGATTTTGTTTTGGGAGACTCACAAAAATACCCCTTTTTCAATATCCCTTTTCAAAAATGCCCCCTATGGATGTCCATTTTTAAAAATACCCCTTTTATGTACAAAATGACTAAATTACCCTTCTTTAATAAAAGATATCATAAATATATAAGGAAATATAACAAAATTAGGTCCACAAAATACAAAATATTTTTTGGCGGGAAAAGTGATCCCCCAATTTTTCCCGCCAATACACTTGTAAAAATTTGTAAAACCTTTAAAATACCTTGTAAAATTTTCCCGTAAAATTTTTTCCCGCCAAAAAATTTTCCCGCCAAAAAATTTTTTTTGCAGGAAAAGTGATTCCGCAATTTTTTTGCCGTTAATTTTTGGCGGGAAAAATTTTCCCGCCAAAAATTTACAAGGTATTTTAAAGGTTTTTTACAAGGTATTTATAAGGTTTTACAATGTATTTTAAAAGGTTTTACAACGTATTTGCAAGGTATTTATAAGATATTATAAGATTTTACAAGCTATTTTATAAGGTTTTTACAAGTTATAAGGTTTTACAAGTTTTTTATAAGGTTTTACAAGTTATAAATACCTTATAAAACCTTTAAAGTACCTTGTAAAACCTTTTAAAATATATTGTAAAACCTTACAAAACACTTGTAAATACCTTGTAAAAAACCTTTAAAATACCTTGTAAATTTTTCCCGCCAAAAATTTTCCCGCCAAAAAAATTTCGCAAAAAAAATTGCGGAATCACTTTTCCCGTAAAAAAATTTTTTTGGCGGGAAAATTTTTTGGCGGGAAAAATTTTTACGGGAAAATTTTACAAGGTTTTTTAAAGGTTTTTACAAGTGTTTTGGCGGGAAAATTGCGGGATCACTTTTCCCGCCAAAAAATATTTTGTATTTTGTGGACCTAATTTTGTTTCAAATAAGGGTAAAATAGTCATTAAAAATTAAAAGAGGGCAAACTTAAAAATAGACTCTCAAAGGGGGCATTTTTGAAAAGGGGTATTGAAAAAGGGGCATTTTTAACAATTTCTCTTTTGTTTTCCCACTCTAACATTTATCAAAAAAAGAAAAGAAAAAAACGGTTACTAATTATATTTGAACAAACGACCAACGATAATAATCGAAGAACAGAGACCGCCAGGAAGTGTGAGTCCACTTTTGTAAAGAAGGTCTGGTTAATAAACGGCTAAGATCTAAACCGATTCACGTAAGATTAATATCAACGGTCAAGATTTCAAATCTAGGGTCAGTGGTCAACCAACTTTGACTGGGTTAGACAATCCAGCTGGCATTTACTATTAACTCTGTCAAAGAGTCTCATTAGTGCGTAATACTTATTACACAGAAAAAATCTGATAAAAAATCGGAAAAAACCACGATAAAGTGGATCAACCAAGCCAAACCAAGCAATGATATGAACGGTCGCTTATCGGTGGAGCTAATTGCTGATTTGTTCGAATTTTACCTTGTTGATAGTGAAACTGGATTTCGAATAAACTATCTTACTTTACATGGCAAACACACCCTTATTTCGTGAATCTCAGACGGCATTATCAAAACATAAGAAGAAATGTCTCCAAAGAATTAAATCGTCGGAAGATAAAAGATATTAACACATTTGTAAGCGATTAACGAAAGAAACTAAAAATTTATATGATAATAACGTCAACAAAAACGTCACTCAAAACATCTAATTACTATTAGTGACCTGTCAACAGAAAATATCAAAATAATTCTTAATACACTACGGCTAATGTAAACGATAAACTAAATAAAAGAACTAAAAATGAATATTACTAGATTTGAACCCGCGGTACACCGCGGGGCTATAATTTTTTTACAAAAATCTAAATATAATTAGTTTTGTTTATTAATAGAGAGTATAATAAAATATTTCGACCTATTTTATAAATGTACCATCCATATATCTATATTAATAATTTTGAGTATATTAATTGTGTTTTAGGTTTAAATGGTATATCTATATATACACTTAAACGACATTTGGCTTTCTTCTTCTTCTTGCCTCAGTTTAGGAGAAAGATTTTTCTTGCGGTACACCGCGGAGCTATTATTTTTTTTAAAAAAAATTTCTCCTTAAACTTCCAAATCTAGATTTTACCCCGCGGGTCAATTTTTTTATAACTAAAAAATTATTTTGCAAAATTTTAAGTTGTATTTGTTTTGTTAATATTGTTTATTTTGTTTAGTGTTTCTGATTTTATAATTAAATTTTGATTTTTAATTCTAGGATTTCATCCATAGTATATTGTTTAATATTAATATTGATCTAAACCCGTTGCACCATATAACCCCGTCCCGTAAAATTAAACATTATTTGTTATTTTTTTGAATAATATTTTTATCCACTACGGGTTGCAGGTTCATGCGGATAAGCCCGTAGAGAGTTGCGGGTTTGCGGATCCACCCGCCAAAAGAGAAGCTATCTTTTGAAACCCTTTGTTTTGTTTAGAGGTTTTAAGAAAATATCTAGGCCTGGGCATTCGGGTACCCATTCGGGTTCGGTTCTTTTTTTTCGGATATCGGGTCTATTCGGGTAGGGGGTCAAGACCCATTCGGGTATTCTAAAAATTCGGTTCGGGTTCGGTTCGGGTTCGGGTCGGTTCGGGTATTTTAATAAAAAAGCAAAATACCCGAAAATAACCAAAAATACCCGGAATATTTTCGGGTTCGGGTCGGGTTTGGGTTTTTAACTCATATATACCCAAATCTAACCGAAATACCCGATTTCTCGAAAATACATTGGTTACTCTTTACCCAAATATAACCAAAAATATCTAAAATACCTAATATATTCGGTTTTATGATTGTAATTTTAGGTATTTCGGGTATTATAAAAATAAAAATAACTAATATTTTTAGGTGTATATTTGTATTCGGGTACATTCGGGTACATTCGGGTATTGGATTCGGTTCGGGTTCGGTTCGGATTTTTTTCGGGTAGGAGGTTAGGACCCATTCGGGTATTTTTAAAAATCGGGTTCGGGTTCGGTTCGGGTATTGTTCGGGTTTTTTGGTTCGGGTATTCGGTTCCGGGTATTTTGCCCAGGCCTAAAAATATCCCTAAAAAATAATTTTCATTATATGAAAAAAAGAAGTAGAAGAAATTGTAATATCAACATTCCCGATTTTTACATCACTTTTTTTTTTGTCATCTGGATTTATTATTTATTGCAAATTCTGATAACTGTTACAATTAATTTTTTTTTGCAGATAAAAATCAGAAGTTAATTAAGTCGAGATTTTTAAAAAGATTGTGTAGAGATTTTTGGTAAATTGTTGAGAACATATTTGATTTCAGAATCTTTACTTAAATAGATAAGGAAAGATTTTGTAGAGACTTTTGCTAAATATATGAGAAATGAATTTCAATTAAAAATCTTTACTTAAATAAAACAAATCTAAATAATTAATGCTAGTGGCATGTCATTGTAAATACTTCTCAACTTCAGGATTTATTTGCTAATTGTGATCCAAAAATGTATATATAGATATAATATATATTTGCACTAAAACAAAGAGAAATATGGAAAACTAATTCTACTCTGTGTTAGCTAATCTCCATGGGCTTGGGCCTCTAATTAGTATTACGCACTATGGCCCATAAGTGTTTTCACTTTTCAACCTCGGGGAGTGAAAAAGACAAGCTCGCGGGATAAGAACAAATTACCAAATTTGTTAAAAAGAAATTACAGTAATTCAAAAATTGGGATTAAACAAGCGTGGTCTCCACGAGATAGACTCTATCCCAAAACGGCAGCGTATAACGTTGTTTCATGGGGGTCCCACTTACAGACCACACAAGAACAGCTCTTGAATTTGTTTCTTCGTTGGGGTTTTGGGTGACAAAAAAGTTGGGAGCTTGCTTAATCGCATCTCTGTAAAATGGTACAATCTCTCTCAATCCTTGTTGTCTCTTTCGTTTCCTTTACACATTTTAGCTAGGTCTCTGTTTTCGTTAGCTCCCTCTCTCCCTCTTTGAGATTTTGAGTTCGTTCGTTTCACTAAGACAATCGTCGTAATCCTTTTTTCAGAGCTAGGGCTTTGACAAAGAGGAATTTGATTGAGCTCCCAGAGCAAGATGGAGAGCTTAAACCCAGAAGATTTCGGTGTGAAGAAGATAATCAGTGAAGAAAAATTCATCGGGGATGAAAAAAAGTATGATTCTGAAGAGAACTTTCGCTATGTACATGTCGTCAAAGCAAGGGGTATGGCTTTTGCCAGAAATCCTTCTCCTAACGCTAAAGTTAAAATTGAGATGGGATTGGCGACAAGATCCACTGAGTGTTGCAGGGACATGTCGAATCCTGAGTGGAACCAAGTTTTTGCCTTCGTAGATGATGATCTATGTAATTCTTATGTCCTTAGAGTCATTGTAAACAGGGCAGGCACTCGGTTGGTCACTGTCGCTTTGGATTGAGTGAATCTCCTGACATTATCCCTTCTAATTGTACCGTGGCACCTCAATGGATCCAGTTGTATAACAGTAGGAATCAACGTGTTGAGGCAGAAATTTTGCTGGCTAGGTTTTCAGGTTATCAAGGAGATGAACAGTGGAACAGAGATGCGAGCTACAAGGGAGCTGATGCTCTTCCAGACATCCGGTCTCAGCTTTATTTCACTCCTAAACTTACTTACCTCAGGGTTAATGTAACCCAAGCTTCTAATCTGGTTCCAAAGGATCCCTTTGCCAGAGATCCTCAATATTATGTCAGAGTGAGTTTGGGGAACCAGACATTGACTACTAGAACATCTCCAGGCAGGAATCCAATGTGGAACCAGGATTTGATGTTTGTCGCAGTAGCACCATTTGTGGAACATGATTTGATCATCAGTGTGGAAGACAGGGTTAACTCATCATCCTTTGATGTCGTGGGGACAGGTTCAATCACATGCCAACATTATGATAGAAGGTCAGATGACAGAGAGGTGACTTCTATGGGGCTTGACCTTGTGACATGTAACCCCCAAGTGATCAGCAGAATTTACATGACAGTTTGTTTGGATGAAGGGTTTTCTGTGCAGCATGAGTCTGCGTTTTACACAAGTGATTTCAGAGCTGCAGATTCAAAACTTTGGACGCCCAAAATTGGTGTGCTGGAATTGGGAATCTTAAGGGCTTCAGGTTTGATGTCTAATGCATATTGTGTAGCAAAATATGGAGACAAGTGGGTTCGAACAAAGAAAACTGATGGGAACTTTAACTGGAACGAGGTTTATAGGTGGGACGTTTACGATCCTTATACCGTTGTTACTCTAGCTGTCTTTGATGATAGAGATTCAATGCCGCTTGGCAAAGTGCGGATCCGGCTGTCTTCACTCTCGACTGGTCGAGTCTACACACATTCATACCCTCTTTTGGTGATCCAGCCTAATGGTGTAAAGAAAATGGGTGAAATTGACTTGGCCGTGAGATTCACTTGCTCCTCATGGCTCAAACTCCTGCGCACATACTCACAGCCTCTCCTACCAAAGATGCATTACATCCTTCCACTTCCTGGTTCTGAATCCTTGAGGCGTCAAGCGGCAGAGATTGTGTCTATGTGTTTGGCCCGGACAGAGCCACCACTGAAGAAAGAAGTTGTGGATTATATCTTAAACTTGGACTCTCACTCTTGGAGTGTACGCAGGAGCAAAGTCAACCACTCGAGAATTGTGGATACGCTTGCTTGGTCATACAACTTCCTCGATGAAGTCTGCACATGGAAGAGTACACCAAAGACCCTCTTCGCCGCCTTCTGCATCTTCATGTTCATCGTCTTTCCTGACATGGTACTTTCGTTCCTACCACTTCTCGTCTTCTTCACAGGTCTGTTCTTCTACTTCTACAGTTCAGACCTGCCACCGCACTTCGATGCAACTCTGTCCCAGGCAACGAGAGAGCTTGATCCAGAGGAGTTTGACACATACCCCTCTTCCCAACTACGAGATGTTGTCAGTGAGAGGTATGACAACCTGAGGAGATTAGCTGGAGAGGTTCAGACTGTTCTTGGACATGTCTCTAGTCTGGTGGAGAGACTCTTCTTACTCTTTAGCTGGCGAGACCGACGTGCTACGGCACTGTTTCTATTATTCTGCCTAGTCACAGGTGCGTTTCTCATTCCACTTTGGTGGTTTACGTCTCGATATTTGCCACTCTTCAAGGTGTTTCAACTTCTTGGCACATTGTATGTGATGAGGCCACCGAGATTCAGGCAGCGAGGGCTATCATGGTTCTTCAGCTTCTTTTGGAGACTTCCATCGAGACATGATGATCTCTTCTGATTGCTTTCTCTTTATTACTTTGTTTTTGGTTTGCTTTTGTAAGCAAATATTCTCTGCTTTCGTATTTTGGAAAATTTGTAAAAGCATTTTAGATTTGGATTTGGCACTACTTTTTAAAATTAATTGACATAACAGTAAAATATGCTATTAATCAATGTCATTTGCTCAAATAAAGTAGAAATTAATCCGATATATACTAGGGCTAAGAGCTTGTGCGTATTGTCCAGCTAAAACTAAATTCATAGTAATTCAAAGGGTTTATAAGAAGCACAGGTGACTCGGATTGAATCTAGAAATTTGAGAAACAAATTGAAAGATTAAACGATTATCAGTTGAAAACCCTTAAAGATTTAAAGCATAATTAATTGGCATTATGATTGAGTGGAGTAAGTAAAGATCACTTGATGTGTTCTAATAGAAGTGTTTTCAGGTTTAGTGTTTAACAATTATTGTCATAATTTTGAGAAATTAAACTACCATACCTCCACGCAACAATCGAATCCGATCTCAGGTTTTGAATCAAAGAACCGATGATCGAGTGAAAAAGAGTGACACGGTAGATTTACGAGTTATCCCTACGGAAATGCCAAAAGATCAAGAAATCCAGTTGTAGTTTGGTTATAACACACACACACGAAGCTCTCTCAAAAAGAATCGAGCTCGTGAATAATGGTGAAGTGATATTGAAGAAGAGAGGAAACAAAGCATTTATCTTCCTAGAGTGTTTCCCTTTATATAACCATCTTTAGATTGTTTTTTCTTCTTCTCTACGCTTTACGGCTTACCTGAGCTTAACCACTCGATACTTCTCGGCTATATTATTATTAGATTTGACCAGACCAAGTTGATTTCTATTGAATCAAATCCTATTAACAAAACACTTAGTCGGTACCGGAACCAGGAAAATTAAGTATATTTTGAAACATTGGACTTGAATAATAATCCCTAATAAAGGATGAACACATGACGTGTGCCAAACGTTAGGAGTAGAGAGATACACACTAGCTAGGCTAGCGACCAAAACTCAAAAAATGAAAAAGGGAAGTTGGAAAAAACAGAGTCACGATTGTTTTCTTGCATAACAAGTAACCACGTCAACGCAACTGCTGAAACCTAAATACACACTTAGCAATCAGAAGAGCCAGTCAATGTCTCCAGGTTTTCGATTAAATTCTTCACACATACTATAAAATCCATCTCTATGAAAGAAAGGAACCTCAAGAAAGGATGAAAGTTTTTCAGTAACAAATGTCCAAGAGCTTATCCACGGTGGGGCTATCTGTAGGTCGCCACGTACGGCACCGCGTCCAGAAGTCTTGTGCCGCAGGAGAGAGAGATACCCTTCTATTCTCCACGCGATACAGTTTCCCATCTCATGAGGCACACCCCCAAGCATCTTAAGAACCGTACGCCCTAGAGACCATATATCACGGGCCGGTCCGACCAATAAGTCCGGCCCAGAAAACCTATACCGGAATGTTTGTACGCTCAAACCTATACTTAAGCTCCCTCTCGAGATTCTCGGAATGTTTGAACGTACTTGTCTTCTTCATGTAAGATTTCTCCAAGTTTGAATCATTCTTGTTGTTGGGCACAAAGCCGTAGACACCTTTGTCAAGAACAGAGACTATATATCTTCAATGAAGACTTAGTCAGATCTCCAATAACCTTCCCCTCCATAATAATAATAATCTCTTTCTTTAGGTTTTCGTTTCTTTTGGTTAGCAAAACTTATTATATAAATAGGGAAACTGTTGCTTCCTGGGCTAAAATATTAACAAATCTAATTATGAATATTTAGATAATTATGAATATTTAGTCCAAAGTAAAATTAACATTTTAGCTACAGATTGAGAGATTTTGTTTCCCCATTCAGTTTAACATTTACTCAAAAAAAAGAAAAAAAAGACAGTTACCAATATTTGCGCAAACGACCATCGAGTATTGAAGAACAGAGACTGCCAAGAAGATTCCACTTTTATAAAGAATGTCTGGTTAATAAACGGCTAAGATCTAAATCGGTTGTAAGATTAATATCAACGGTCAAGATTCAAAATCTAGAGTCAGTGGTCAACTAACTTTGACTGGGTTAGACAATCCAGCTGGCATTTACCCAAGTCACATTAGTTTCCTTGCGCAACAAGTAAACACGTAAGCTCAGTTGAAATTCTGAAACCTAAAACGACTCTTTAAGTCTTAAGTCAGAGAGCCATCACCAGAAGATGTTTCATTTTCTTTGTCACCGTTTAAGGCTCTAAGCCTTTGGAATTAGTTCTTCATCACGTTTTCTATACAATTGTCCTGTGGCAATCTTCTTATGAAGAAGGAAGCCCCAAAAAAGAAGAAACTATGGAAGTTTATCAGCAACAAAAGGATTGTTGGAGAGCTCATCCATGTTTGTTTTAAAACTTAACTAAAGATAAAAATAAGTCGAAATATATTTTGAGTGATATAACATATTGTTATTAATATCACAATCGAATCCAATCTCAGGTTTTGATATGAATCAAAGAACAAAGGATCGAGAGAAAAAGAGTGACACGGTCGATTTACGAGTTATCCCTACTAGTTCAAAGATCAAGAAATTCAGTTGTAGTGTGGTTACAACACACGAAGCTCCCACAAAAAGAATTGAGCTCGTAAAGAATTGGTGAAGTGGTACTGAAGAAGAGAGGAAACAGAGCAATTCCGCTAAAGAAACAGCATTTGTCCTCCTAGAGTCTTTCCCTTTATCTAACTATGTTTTAGAATTGGTTTGTATTCTTCTCCACCCGTTACCTCGAGCTAAACCACACTATAGTTCTCGGTTATATTTTCATTGACTTGACCGGACCAAGTTGGTTTCTATTGAATCAAATCCTATTAATAAAACTCTTACCTGTATCTGGAACCAGGACAATTAAGCTGATTTTGATACATTAAAAACCCGAATAAAAGATGAAGACATAACGTGTTCCAAAAGTAGGGGGCAGATACACTGTAGATAGCGACACAGTCAAAACAAATCAAAACAGCTGTTTTCTTGCAAAACAAGTAAACACGTCAACCCAACTGAAACCTAAAGACACTCTCAAGTCTCAACTCAGAAGAGACGTCACCGGAAGATGTTTCCTTTTGCTTGTCACCAGTCCAAGCTTTGACGTTTTTGATTAACTTCTTCATATATATTATACAATCGTTCCTTAACAAAGGATGTAAGTTTGTCAGCAACAAAAGGATGGTCCAAAAGCTCATCCACGGTGGGCCTATCTGTAGGCCGCGACGTACAGCACTGCCTCCAGAAGTGTGCTGCCACCACAGAGATAGGATACTCTATTCTCCATACGATAGAAGCTCCCATCTTTTGAGGATTAGCCCCAAGCATCTTAAGAACCGTACGCCCTAAAGACCATACATCACGGGCTGGTCCGATCAATCTATCTGGGCCAAAAAATGTTTTCGGCGCAAGGGCCTCAGGCGGCATGTACTCGGGGGTTCCAGGAAACAATAGACTAGAGTCCATAGTAGGCTCTTTGGATAAGCCGAAACCAGTAAGCTTGAGATCCCATGGTTCTCCAGGAGTGTTGGAAGGGAAGACAAATACATTGGAGGGTTTGAAGTCGCAGTGGACGTAACCTTCCGAATGTAGAGCCTTAAGTCCTTGCAGGATCATACGAGTGGCCCTTCTGACAGTATCTTCAGGCAGTCTCCCTCCGGAATCAGAGATCATCTTGTCGAGATTGCCTAAGGACGCATACTCCATGTAGATGTAACACAAAGTCGCGCTTTTGGTGTTAAACTTGAAGTGAAGATGAGGGCACGAAGCTTGGACGATGAAGGGATTGGCGTGGAAGTGAAGCATGGTCTTAAGCTCCCTCTCGAGATTCTCAGAATGTTTGAGCGTACTTGTCTTCTTCGTGTAAGATTTCTCCAAGTTTGAATCATTCTTGGTGGACACAGAGCCGTAGATACCTTTTCCAAGAAAAGAGACTATCTCCAATGAAGACTCCGTCAGATCTCCAATAACCTTCCGCTCCATAACACTTGTCTCTAGGTTTTCGTTTCTTTTGGTTAGCAAAACTAAATATAAATATGGATGCTTTCCGGGAAATTAACAAATCTAATTAATTAGTACTATTTAGTTGTTTATAAAAAAGTAAAATTAACATCTAGCTACAAATTTTATTTATTTTACATATTGAGAGATTTGGTCTTCCCATAATAATAACAATTACTAGCAAAACGTACACGTCATCACATCACAAGATCCCACTCTACCAAAATCTATCCCGATGTACGCAAGCACAAAGCAAATTCCACAAGTCAAAACATCATCAAACGACCCATTAGCTTTACTAGCGCCTCCAGTGCACTTGGTGAACGAAATCTAAGATCAGAACTTATTATAAATAGGGAAACTGCTTCTTCCTGGGCGACTATATATATTAACAAATCTAATTATGAATATTTAGATATTAATTAAAAGTAAAATTAACATTTTAGCTACAGATTGAGAGATTTCGTTTTCCCATTATCCAACATTTACCGGAAAAATAAAATAAAACAGTTACTAATTAAAATTTGAGCTAAACGACCAACGATGTAGCTTGTTAAGCACTTTGAGCTAAATTCCATAATTCATACTAGATTATACCAAAAATACCAAAAAAAAAAAAAAGATTTTAAGAAGAACCATTATTCATTAACTAGATTATAATATCAACATTGCAACACAGCCATCGATGATGATGATTGGGAAAACGGCCTTTTTCAACCTCAACTATTTGCAGGCGGGTTTTTCCAACCCAAACTATTACCCCTAGTCGATTTCAACCCAAACCCAAAATTAATTCAAAATCGAAACCTGAACTAATGCAAATGAGCCGATTTCAACACGACGCGGAATGGCGTTAGTTCGGAAGTTAACGATTACTCAACCTTGGGTAATTCTGTCTCT